CGCGCGTATGTACCGAAAAAAACAGGCACTTTTTTCAAAAAAGTTTCTTTTTCGGTTTGCTTTAATTTTGTTAAATTAAATCAAAGTTGCCGTTAAGCATATAGAATTAATTTTAGCCAGCCTTATTGTGTTAACATTTTTTAACCTATAATTAATGCATTTATTAATTATTTAAAAAATATATCCGAGCATATAAAAATGTAGATATATACCAAAATAATACTTTTAAAATCTTGTTTATTTATTCCTCGACAGTGGGAATCTCAGTTGAGTAATTAGTTGTTACTTAATCAATTAAAAAAAAAATAAGAACAGTTGATTGCGTACCGTATATATACAGCAATTGCGCACATTCAATATACATTTCCTGATATAGCTGATACCTGTATATCATACAAAATGCATTCTATGTCTTGGTTGTTTGTTTTCCCAATGGTGGCATTTATACTGTGTATTTCAAGTTATTCAGTCAAGGGAATCTTCTTTCGTCGTACGTATTATATTTTTTTCTCCAAAATCTCTTATTCATATTGTTATTTCTAGCAAATTGAATTAAACAAATCAACTTTAAAAAATTGTTAACCTTGTGTGGAAGGATTATGTTTTTGAGAGAGAGAGAGAGAGAGAGAGAGAGAGAGAGAGAGAGAGAGAGAGATTAACAGAAATTTAAATTAAAGTTTCAATTCCATTTTCCCGTTTACCCGATCATGACAAGGAGCACTCGGCGGGTGTGACTATGGTCGACAGGGGATCGTTAGTCCTCCATGGCACCTGATCCTAACCTCTGATATATGTGGAGGTCCGTCTTTGCTCTACTCCAAATTTTCAGTTTAATTACTTTTCGTCATCTTTATATTACATCTATGGAGGGTAATCGTGCTCAAAATCCAGACTTGTAAGTTTGTAAATCCAAACATGTATTTATATGTTCGGAAATATATATGCTAGGATGTCGGAATTACCTACTTGCATATGTAGACTTTGAAACTGATACGATAACAAGCTTGGATTTCCAAACCTACAAATTTGGATTAACAAACTAACAAGTATGGATTTTTGAATAGATTACCCTCTATATACATTTAGTATCTAGTACATTTATGTACCGCGGTATTTTGTTTCAGGCAAACTACCACCGGGGTGCTGTTGTAGTGTTAGATCCTTTTGTTGCCCATGTCCACCACTACAACGCCCAACTGTACACCCACCAGTACTACATACACCACTACCACCACAACTACCACCAATATTTCCATCACAACCACGACCATCATTATTAACAAACCTAACAGTTGTAGACATTTTTTAGAAACGCTGCAATTATTCGATAGCAGGATGTCAAACAACATTTTGTGCAACTTCATACATGTATATGAATAAAACCTAATTACATTTCGTGATTGATTTTTTTTTCTGTGATGTGTAGAATTTGTATCTATCTTTCCAAAGTCATCATACAGCTGTATTACTTTTTAAGAATTGTTTTTGATTTTGCCATCAGGCAAAATGGATTGTGTAACCCCCCCCCCCTCCCCCCGAAAACGTGAAACACCAGGAAAGAAATAGACTGACAGCTTCTTGTGCACTCTTAAAAGGTGTTTGCACTAAATTTGAAAGTTGCAAAATATATCCAATATTATCAATAAATTTTAATTACTTCCAAAATTTTTCTGCTAATTACCTTCGTCAATAGATATAGTTCCCTTTAACCTTTTCAAAGACACAAATATTCGCTTTAATAAAGGATAAATATATAAAATTGTAAGCTTGTTGTTTTCACATTGAATTATAAATACAAAAAAATCCGATAGCCATATAATGACAAGAAACACTCGGAGAATGTGACCGGTCAACAGGGGAAGCTTACACCTCCATGGCACCTGATCCCATCTTTGATGTTTTTAGACGTCCGCGTTTGCTCTGCTCCAGATTTTTATTGTTCTTTTGAGCTCGGCTACTGCTCGTTATCTTCATATTCCATAAAATAAGATACATGTATCTGCACTTCGAGACTTGAAGGTGTGTATTAGAATGTTGTTACAAAAGAAATGACTTGTCTAAAAAAAAAATACTTGTAAAATAAGAAAAGCCAAGCACTAACCATTCAAAAATGATGGTCAAAAAGGTTAATTTTTTTTTAATATGGGTCAAACTCCAAGGTCAAAGACAATTAAAACTACCCCCGGGGAATGCCTTAATTATCATAAAAAATACACACGTTATCTTTATTAAAGCCTTAACACCAACTGTTCAAAAGTTATGGCCAAGGTTATTCAAAAGTGGGTCAGTTTTAATGACGTCAGCAAACCCGCGACCTACGTTAAGAAAGGTCTTGCCACAATATACGAAATATACGAAATCCATAGCTCTAACCAATCAAAAATTATGGGCAAGGTTAAAGTTTTTCAGTGACAAACAGATAGGCAACCAAACAGACAGACGGCCGGAAAAGGTAATAACTATAATATTCTTCGAATACAGGGGCTTAAAATACAAATTAGCCATATCATTTCATATACTTCGACAATATGTTACATGTACCATTAATGTAGCATATATTGATTGGTTTAAAATATATATGGCAAAATGGACTTTTTACTTGTTGACAAATGCATGTACAAGTTTTTTTTAACATATAATGACTGATAAAAGACATGTTCCCAAAATTCATACTTTAAAAATACCATAAACTTGAATTTATGAAGGTAGATCTGCCTCTCAGTATAATTTTTAGCAACAGTACTACAAGACCAGCATCTATAATCAAAAATAGATTCACAATTCCTAAATTCTCTTCGCAGTTTTACAGCTTTTAGAGCCCCCATTGTTTTTTTAAGATCCGCCACAGTGGACATACATTTTTAGATCCCCCATTGTTTTTTAAGATCCTCTACTGTGAACACTTTTTCGCGTTCCTTTCCAAACAGTCCGTATTTCGGGGCCACCGCCCCAACATTTCCAACGTATCTAGGATCCGCCACTTCATTTGCCGGTTGCCATCTGAAATGAAATATTTGGGTTCAACTCTTTTAGTATTCATATTTTTTTAAGCCAGCGTTTTGCCTGCTTGTATACCCTACTTGGTGTCTGTTTATATGTCTCTGAATTTATATATTCAAAATTGTGACCTGAATAAAATTTCAATAATTCTATCAGAAAAAAAAATCTAACCCCGAAATCAAAGCAGAAAATTAGATTACATGTAACTAAGAGTAGTCACAAATACTGTCATGGAGAAAGCAGTCACTTAAATTCTGGCGTCAATTACGACACTCTTTCAAGACACAATTTCACTGTTGGTGTGGACTCTCTAATGTTGCTCAGAGAACTTTATTCTAGCTGTAGATACAAACTCTGTGTACGACCTATACAAATTCTTTTTAAAAGCTGTTTGATCTGACACTAAATATAGAAGAGTTTATACACTAGTCTTCAGCGCGGTGCAGTGGCAACAAAAGTTGTGAGGGGATTTGATTCTAACGTAGCGGGTTCGAATCACTGCAGGTCCATCGGATGAGACCTTTTAAAACTGGGGTTCCATGTCCAAATACCTTCTTTTTTTTGGTAGGTGGTGGCAAAAAGGATCTATCACTCCTCAGTGGTGACATCCAATTATGTTCTCAAAGATATAATCATTCTTATGAAATACTCTCAAAGGGGTGTAGAGCAAACAAAATATTGGATGTGTAGAAGAGGACAACAGAAAGTCACCCCATCAATAAATTTGTAATACCACCTACCTTGTGTCGCAGCTGATTCGAACGAAATCGGTGAGGTTTGAGGTGGACATGTGAACCGTTCTATAACGAAAATAATGTTCTGTCAATAATATAACAAAATTTTAAAGTAAAGTACATGGTATTTCTTTTTTTGGTTTTACGTGAACGAATTTTTATAGGAAAAAAGTTTTGTAGCAATGAAGCAGATATATTCATAAAAATATCTTTAAAAATTTTATGGCTTTTTCTGATACTTATAGTTTTCAAGCATGATCTTCAATAACTATGCTAAGCTGAAACCATCACCAGGCTATTTTTGTGATTTTAATTCTATATCACTCCCGTAATTATGCGCCCGAATCGAAAGATCCGAGGCGTATATTGTTTTTGTCCTGTCTATCTGTCTGCAAATTTAACCTTCGTCATAACTTTTGAACCATGAATGAAAGAGACTTCATATTTGGTATGCATACTCCGCTAATTAAGCTCTTTCAAATGACACCATGATCAATGACCTTGTGACCTTGACTGTGACCTATACGCTAAATATAGCTTTTTTGTCGGCAAACTTTTACATTCGCCATAACTTTTGAACGAAGAAAGAAAGAGACTTAATATTTGACATGCATACTCCACTAATTAAGCCCTTTCACATGACACCGAGGTCAATGACCTCGTGACCTTGGCTTTGTCCTATATGCTATAAATAGCTTTTTTGAACCTTCACCATAACTTTTGAACCATGAGAGTCTTGAGAGATAGAAACTTCATATTTGGTATGCGTACCTCACTAATCAAGTTCTTTCAAATGACACCAATATCAGTGACCTTGTAACATTGACTTTGACCTATAAGCTAAAACTATGTTTTCTTTAACTTTGTTACCGCCGGGCGCATAGTGTTTCACAAACACATCTTGTTTATTATCGTACATGCATAAAAGTTTCTCCACACAAAGATAGTTTGATTGTCGTATTAAACTCGTCTAATATCGTGGAAGGTACCAATTTTTATATTTTGTCTATTGTACATGTACCTCATTGTAAAGATGAGAACGTCCCCGGCCCGGAAGTCCGAAGTCTTCCATTGTCCGCCAAATTTGGAGGTGATTTCTGACGGGTCCTCCGTAAACCAACCAGTGCCTAAGATTTAAAGACGAGAATTTTATCCATTAATATTGCACACCCTGCTTATAATTAAATAATGTAAAGGTAGAGTCGTACAGAGCACAGATCGATAATTTGTGAAAACACATTGATGGATAATATTTTGATCAAACAAATTGATAAAAACTACTGCTGAGGTCCTAATACAGTTTCCGTAGAAAGGAACTTGAACATACATGTACCTTCTACATTTTCTTTTTCCATATCTAATTCACCATAAGTTGTCTGGAGCTTTCTGAAACTAATCAAAAATATTAATAACACCGTGTCACCTTTAAAATCGTAAATTAAGTAAATATATAAACAAGAATTATGTAGATGTGTTTTTTCATTCACATCCAAAACACATGTACAGTAGAGTTATACTTATTTTTTTCATTTGCAAGTAAGTTCGCCCCTATTACCCAAGATCCGCCCCTTGTAAACATTATCCTTACCCTGGTAAAGAATTGGATCCCTCACATACAGCCAATGTGCCCATTTCTACAGTGGTATCCCCAAAAGGTGTCCAAACCGTGTACAAATTCTTAGATCCGCGCCCCATGTATACGTTATCTACATGAGCACCAGTAAACTGTCTCCGATTGATACCCCTGCAAGTAGATTGAGAAAAATGTCCTCCCATTTATCATTAAAAATTGTTGATAAGTCAGAAAATAAAAAATACTCACCTCAGCCACTTAAAGTCAAAGGTTCTGGCTTCAGTGCCCAGAAAACGCTGAAAGAACTGTTTGGCTAAAAAGTCAAAATTGATATATTAATCAAAGTACTGAGACAGTACTGAAAGACGGGGTCAAAAAAATCTTCATGCTAGATTTCACAAATGTGATTTTTTTTACGAGTTTTAATAACAACTTTATTTTTTCATTAACATACTAAAAACAAAACTATGAATAATATACATTCACATTTTTCATTTTATTTGATTTAAAGTAAAAATTGTAATAATTGCTCAGTCTGGAAACCTTGCTGAACTGCTCCGAATTTCATCAGGTACGAACTAATAATTTTTCCGGAAGTAAACAATGGATGATGCATACACAGTCATAATAATACGCAGGATAGTACTTTGTCTACTAGTGTTATTTACAGTTAATATTTTCAGTTTTAAATTATCAAAATACTTTATAAGTTGAGTTAGACAAAGGTTCAAATCAATTTCTTTAGTTTGATACAAAATGTTTTTGTTTTGATCGAAACAATTTCTGCACTCTTTCGTATGCGTAGATTTAATTCATGTGTTATCACCACGGCATCCGTTTTCTATTTTTAGGACTCTGAGAGTAAACTAAAAGACGGGGTCACGTGACCCCGTCTAAAAATGAAAGTACATGCATGCATGTTATGTAAACAGTGTTGAGAGAGAGAGAGAGAGAGAGAGAGATAAACATACGTCGGTGTCCTTCCAGGACATTGAGAACTTCAGGACAGTGTGTGATGTCATTCTTTCCCTGTAAATCAAAAAGAGTATGTCCAGTTTTTAATTTGCAATGAGAAAATTCTGATAAAACCTTATTTGAAAGTATATGTAAAAAGTAACAATCATTTTAAGAATCTTTGATTTTTTGACCAACTTAGATCATCTGAAAGTACGATGATTTTATAAAAAGAATTTCTTGATTGGCAGGTTGTGCAAGACGTAAGTTCTTTGGTTTACGGTAGCTTCGGGTTGATTTTTTTGTATAGTGAAAAATTAATGTTGAACATGTATACCTCCATGGCTGGAATACACCCTCTGCCACACCTTTCATCTAGCACTCCCTCTGAGGGCGGGGTAATTAGCTTAAACTCCGCCTTCTCATTTACATAATTCAGAACTGACAATCGAGCTTTTAGAACGTCCTGTCTATCATGAAATCCGCGGATAAAAAGATATCTGAAATTTTATACATTGACCCGTAAACATTTAAAATTGCCAGTTTAATTATTTTCAGAAACCCTATCTTTATTTACATGCAGGTAATTTCGCGTCCGTTTTCTTTCTTTCTTTTTTTTATACCAACCCTTTTTCGTCGATTTCCCTTCGGAGACCCTCAGGGTTTTCCAGGAGGTGGTTGCTGTCTTCGAGCTGCTGTAGATCCTCTGACGGAAATAGAAATTCTTTTCTTCCCAATTCAACTTTTCGTGCCATTTCATATCAACATACTGTAAAAAATTATTACCCCCCTTTGCATGCAACAATTTTGACCATTTAATCTCGACCTTGGAGTTAAACTTGCATTTGACAAATTACGACCCTCGCCATAAACGTCAAATGGAAGCATCAGTAATTCACAAACACATCTTGTTTTTATATGTAAGGAATACGATTCAATAATACAAAGGAATAAATAAAAAAAAAAAACTAAGATGTGTTTGAGAAACACGATGTCCCCGTGGAGTTTCTCAAACGCAAGTCAAACTCTAAGGTCAAAATCATTGGTATCAAAAGGAAGGTCTTTTCAAAATGATAATATCTGTGAAAAATAAGAAATCCTTACTACAATCTGTTCAAAAGTCATGACCAAAGTTTGAGATTTTTACAAAGTGGGTAAAACTCTAAGGTGAAGTTCAAAAGGTCAAACATTGTATATTTTTAACCCCCGGCAATGAAAAGTCTTGTCACAGTGAATTCAGATGTGGAGTGTGAACGGATTTAAAAGATGTGGCTATTGTTAATGTTCGGAATTTTTTGTAAACGTGGGTCAAACTCCAAAGTCATAGACTCAAGGTCACGAGGTCTAATTTTGTGCCAGGTACCAGAAGAAAGGCATTGTCACAAAAAATTACACCTGTGAAATATGAAAGAAAGCCATAGCCCCATCCAATCAAATGTTATGCACATGGTTAAATTTTTCGCAGGTAAAAGTAAACAGACAAACAGAGAGACAAACAGGGATTAATCTGATTACAATCAGATCTAAGTGTATATAATGACCATTAGAACTTCGGAGCGTAACAAACATCATGAGTTTAATCAAATTGGATCGACAGGGCAAAAAACTATATTTTACATCCTAGTTTTCGATCAGGTGGGCATAAAAAATCAAAAGAACGGGTGTGGAGTGGGGCGGGTTTGGGCCTTGGGGGTTTAAATTCCAAACCAGGTATCAATAGTGAACAAATGTATTTAAAAACCATGTTTTAAATATCTAGGTCAAACTTTGTGTTGAGATGTTTACATGATCCACATCTGCATGTTGCACTTCAAAAAATGTCGAAGTATACTAGCTGTTTACTTGTACGTAATATCCCACCCCTCTGTCCACTTTCCCCTCTTTTCACAAACGGGGTTTAACGGATGTGCGTAATGATTTTATAACACAAGTGCGCTCAATGAACATTTTTAAAATAAGTTAGTAAAATTCTTACCTGTGCACACATTTGGAATATCTGTGTCAAAATTTGCCTGATAACAGAGCATGTTTATTATGATAGCACATTCAATGTTGTTAAATCACACTGGTGGATTTAGAGGGGTGTATTTTTTATCCAGGTTGAAAACAAACCCCAGCCTTTTCCATTCTAACCTTTTTTATGCGCCGGGATCGATAGATCCGGGGCGTATATTGCTTTTGTCCTGTCTGTCTGTTTGTCTGTTTGTTCGTTCGTTAGTTTGTTTGTCTGCAAACTCTAACCTTCGTCATAACTTTTGAACCATGAAAGATAGAAACTTCATATTACATACTCCACTAAGTAAGTTCTTTCAAATGACACAAAGGTCAATGGTCTTGTGACATTGACTGTAACCTATATGCTAAAAATACCCGGTAATTTTTTATCTGCAAACTTTAACCTTCGCCATAACTTATGAACCATGAAGGATACAGACTTCGTAATTGGTTTTCATACTCCACTATTTAAGCCCTTTCAAATGACATGAAGGTCAATGACCTTGTGACCTTTACTGTGACCTCTATCCTAAAAAAGTTTTTTCGTACCTTAGTCATAACTTTCGAACCATAGAAGACAGAGACTGCATATTTAATTAACATACTCCACTAATTAATCTCTTTCAAATGACACCAAGGTTAATGACCTTGTGACCTTCGCTGTGACCTTTATGCTAAAAATAGTTTTTTCGTACCTTTGGCGTAACGTTTTAACCACAAGAGACAAAGAGACTTCATATTTGGTATATCCATACTTTACTAATCAATTTCTTTCAAAAGACACCAAGGTTAATGACCTTGACTGTGACATATATGCTAAAAATGGCTTTTAAAAAAATTGTTGCCGCCGGGCGCATAGTGTTTCACAAACATATTTTGTTTTTCAGTTAGGATATAAATGTTACTTTTTTTCTTTCGGTCTGAATTCATCAACTCCATCTATTATGAAACAGAATTCTAAAGTGTTTCTTCATCCATATTTGATAAAGACCCGCCCCTTCCATGAAAAGCCCGTTACACTTGTATTTATTTCCTCGCTTTCACAAGAGCGAGGGGACATTAAATCTCATTCGTCTGTCCGTCTGTCAGTCACAGAAAAACTTTAACTCACAGGTCATTGGCGTCGGAAGCAAATTGAAAGTGGGGGGCTAAGTGTAAAAAAAAAATTCATTCCTTCAAAAAAAAACCTGACCAAAAAAAGGGAAATTTCCCAAACACGAAAATCCTATTTCGGGGGGGGGGGGGGTCGATCTTCAGTACCACATTTCTTTACGAACAGCACCTCCTTCCCAAATTTTGACCTAAACTGCGACATGTCTGTGGAAAGTGGGGGGGGGGGCTAAACCTACGAAGCAAAGTTCAATTTCTATACTAAGTATATATTTGAAAAAAGGGGGGGCTAAGCCCCCCCCCCCCCCCCCCCCCGGGTTCCGACGCCTATGCAGGTCATTACTTTTGAATGAGAAGAGATAAGGGCTTTCATATCTCATATATGTGAAAAGACCTTTTCAAATATACTATGAATTCTGACCCCATGACCTTGAAGTTTGACATACTTTTACATTATTCCTATACTATATTATTCCTAATTACATCATTACCTATGACAAACCTCTCTAAATACACTATAATAATTTTGACCCCGTGACCTTGAAGTTCGACCAACTTAAAAAATTACCCTTTAACCTTCGTCATAACGTCGAATGAGAAAAGACAGGGCTTTCAATTTACATATGTGTGATTAAATTTTCTGTGACAAGACCTTTTACTAAATGCACTATGATCATTTTGTCTTTTTTGACTTCGTGACATTGATCTTGAAAGTTCTTTTAAAAAAAAACTAATTTATCATAACCAGGGACCCTGTAACTTTTGAATGAGAAAACCTTCACCCGTCATGCAGATTATCCCTTGTTTGAATGTTTCCAACTATAGCTGATGCCCTTGCATACTATAGGTCTACTGACTAGAACGTTTTTCCCATAAAAATAATTACCTCTTTTCCGTGACATTGATCAGTTCTTTTTTAAAAAAAAAACTAATTTATCATAACCAGGCACCCTATAACTTTTGAATGAGAAAACCTTCACCCGTCATGCAGATTATCCCTTGTTTCCAACTATAGCTGATGCCCTTGCATACTACAGGTCTACTGACTAGACCGTTTTTCCCTTAAAAATCATTCTCTTTTTCCGGAAACAATTTGTCCGTTCACTTTTACATAGCGTAGACCATTTCCGGTATCGCTGGACGCGTCAATCTCAGTGTCTAAGGGAAGGAAAGTCAGTCTTAACACAATGTTTGATGTGTAAAACCCGGAAGTTTTATTGGAGATTTTATCAAGATGTTGATGAGAAGTAAGGAGAGACTTTATAGAACATTGGAACTGACATGGGTTATTTTTCTGATGCTGTTAGACTCGATCGGCACCACGGGTCACATGAACCAAAAAGTCTTGCTTGTGTCATATGATGGATTTCGATGGGATTACCTGAAGAAAATTAAAAACCCGGTGAATTTTAACCGTGTGATAGCCGGAGGTGTACATGCAACAAAAGGACTGAAGAATGCATTTATAACAAAAACCCTCCCCAACCATTACACACTTGTGACGGGTCTTTATGAAGAGAGTCATGGATTGGTCGCTAATGAAATGTATGATCCTAAGTTAAACGAAAGTTTCTCTTTGGAAAATCCTGAAGATGTTATAAAGTCAGAATGGTTTGACAATGGCGGTGAGCCCATTTGGGTAACGAACCAAAAACAATCAACGCTTTCTTCTCCGCGAAGGAGTGGATCCATGTTTTGGCCGGGCTCCATGGCCAGTGTACATGGGTACCTCCCGACAAAATATTTTCCTTATAATCCATCGATGACGTTAGAAGAACGAATTGACATCATCATATCATGGTTTTTGGATAAAGATCCAATAAATTTAGGTTTACTGTATTACGAACATCCAGATCACGAGGGGCATCAATATGGTCCAGAAAGTGAAAACATGACACAGATATTAGAATATTTAAATAACGCAACAGGGTATCTTCTTGATAGTCTAGAGAAAAAAAAGTTACTGGACAAAGTGAATATAATTTTGACCAGTGATCATGGTATGTCATCAACACCAAAAAATAAAGTAATCGTACTGGAAGATCATGTAAAAAGAGATTTATTTGAAGTGATAGTTATGAACAATCCAGTGGTTCTTATCCGACAAACAAATGGTAAGTACGAGCAAAATAATACATATTTACATTTTTGTGTTTTTCTACTAAGCCAACTGCTCTAGTGCACTTCATGAAAAATATTCCTACGTGCAAGTCACTGTGATTTACACAGTCACCAATATATTAACTGAATAACTCGCACAAAACTAAAAAAAACATTCCTTAAATGTTATCTTTAGTCAGCTTTAATTGGAAGTATGTGTTACTGTATATTTAATGCATTAACATGATAATGATCAATTTAATAATTTAATAATAGGGCTGGGTAATAATATCAATATTCCAATATATTGAAATACAATGACAACAAATATTGTATCGCAATACGATTTTGTAATATCGATATATATTGGCAAAATATTTAGATTAAGGAATTTTGTCATCAAATATAAAAATGAATGTATGAAAGTTTGTTATTAAGCCAAACTGTATGACAGAAGTTGTTTTGTTAGAATATTTCAGAGCATAACATAAATAAAATCAACAAGATTTTTTCTGTGTTGGTTATTTATCATAGTTATGTACATTCTGCATGTAAATTAAAGTTAATATAGTAAAACAATGCTATTTAAATTACAATGAAAATATTGCAATTCATATTGCAATACACTTAAAAATATTGCAATATATCACAATACGAAATCTTGGGCCAATACCCAGCCCTATTTAATAATGTGGTTTCAAAAATTCTTCATTTTAGAGACAGTCCAGGATTTAATTATACGCCAGTTACAAAATGTACCACATCTAAAAGTTTACAAAAGATCAGAAATTCCACGGCAGTACCACTACACCAAGAATCGTCGCATTCTAGACATCCTTGTGGTAGCAGAGATAGGATATTCTATTGTGGAAACTCAAGCAGAGGCAGAAAGCTATGCGACAAGTAGGACAAATATAAACAATTTTTTAAGAATTCAATAATTGAATTGATTTTCAAGAGTGTACAAACATTCTAGGTATTAATAAAAAGTACATAAAGTAAAACATATGTATTCTGATATATTTACAGTATATACTAAGTGAAAAATGAAATATTAATTAACAGCAAAATTAAAATCTTTACATAATTTACCAAGATCCTCTGAAAAGCAAACAAATGCTACTGAGTTACAATCGCCTTTAGTGTATTGTTTTTCTTTGTCCCGGCCCCTAAGTTTTATCAAATGAAGGAACACCTGTGACTTATCCATGTAGTTCTGACAAGGTGTGAGAGAGCTGCACCAAGCATTTGTTGAACACCAAGATAATAAATACTAAGTAATCTGACAATATAATGTAATGAAATCTTTAGTATCTTGAACTCAATGAGACCAAGAAAGAGTTTAAGATATCCAAGGGTTCGACATATGTGGGATAGAATAAGTGGTTTAGACTTTAAAATCAGTTCAACATTATCATGGGTTTTGAGGTACTGTAGACGTACTTTTTTCCATATTTCCGCGGAATTTCATTTTCTGTTCAATCCGCGGGTAGAAAATTACGCGGATTTTCTCGATTGTCACTATATGCCTTACATTTATATTAAGTACGCCTGGATAAATATCCGCGGAGAATGTTTTACCCTGTACATAGCGTAAATAAATACCACGCGGAAAAATGCACTTCTACAGTATTCATGCTCCAGATAGGTAAATACTGAAGCTCAGCTGTAAATCAATATTATTCTCTTGTTGCACGGTCAAAAAATAAATCTGATTCAATTTATCAAAAGCACGTGCGCATATTAAATACTGAATTTTGTAGAAATATTTCCCTAGCAATGTACGAATAAATCTTTTCCTTAACCCATTTCAGAAGGAGAACACGGCTATAACAACAGTCTGGCCGAGATGCATCCCTACTTCATGGCCATGGGACCAGCCTTCAAGATCAACCACTCGGTGGAGACCTTCAATAACGTAGACCTATACCCAATGATTTGTAAGATCCTGGGTATTCAGCCAGCTCCAAATAATGGGTCACTAAAAAATGTCCAGGATTTACTGCGGGAATCTCATGATAAAAAGGACCTTCTTGTGCCTGATAATACATTTGTGGTTTGTAAGTAAATTCTATATGACAGTATAATTTCATGAATAATTGGCTTGGAAGTTAAATCAGGAAAGACTTCTTAAGACCTCTGTACTAAAAGCCTATTAAAACCACAATATGCATTTTTCTCTATTAAATTCAGCCCAGAACCTCGATACAATTCAAATATTTAAAAGTCGATTTTAGCTTTCTTGATAACTGATCTAAAATTCTAAGTTTACAGTCACTCACAGTAAAAATTTGGACTTGAAACTTTGATGCAGTTATTCCTAAACTCACTGTTTTAACACACTCAGTATACGTTTATCATAACCAACATTTTCTAGCTTTTCTGAAAATAAGCATGATTTATAACTAAAAAATGATTTAATTTTTTGTTTAGATCTGGTGCTGATTATCATTGTGGGGATATTCGGAGGAATTTTCACCATCGGTGCCTGCCGTCAACAGAGATTTCACAAACTCCGGGAGCTGCAAGCTCTTCCGTTCAAATCGCGTGGATCGTACACGCAGGCTGCTCTCACCAAAAATGGCCCCATGCTGCCTTTACTCAGTTCTGATTCCGAAAACGAGTTCTGATCTCCAGTGTCTACTCATTTAATTGTCCAGTTTGCCACATTACATTCCATTCTTCTTCTAAAAATCTGTATCATAAATCAAGTGTGCCATATTTGTAGTAGTACAGTGAAACCTATCTAAATCCGACATGCAATGGGAGACAAACTTTGTGTTGGAATAGACAGGGTGCCGGATTGTACAGTTGTCGGATAAGACAGTTTTCACTGTATGAATATGTCATATAATAATTAGTGCAGTATATCTTTGCATGCAAGTTTTATACATCTTCAGAAATAATGTATTTTTTTTGGAGGGGGAGGTTACTGGGGAGAGTTATCGGTCCATAACAAGGATACCCCATACTGTATACAGGGGAATATTAGCCCCCGTTTTATTTTCGCCCCTTTCGCCCTACCCTTATATGGGCGAATTTAAAACGGGGCGAACTCATATATTACAGTATGATTTCTTGAACAAAACTATGATTGGCATTTGGGCGAATTTAAAACGGGGCAAAATTGTTTGCAAGTGTGAAAGGGCGAAAATAACATGGGGCGAAAATAACCCTGTATACAGTATCTCTTAAAGGGATTCCCAATTTTCACATTGTAAACATGATTACAAGAGATCTGTTGACCTTGATGTGTTCATTGGAAAAGCTTTCTGACAGAGTTTGAAATATTGTACCAGTACTCTCAGTACTGTGATTGTAGTCTAGAGTAGTCAGACATAAAGCCAAACTCAGGCAATGACTTTACTACGTTGTTTTATTCAGCTGTTTAACAGCTAGCTGTCCTTCATTGACCTTTCTTGAACTAAATGTTGATGTTTGTAATATACTTGAGGTTGTATGGTTGTACCGTGTTGATTGATATAAGATATAGCTGTATGGCGTACAGGTGTACTTATTAATTAATTAATTTTACTAATTTACAAGGCTTAAGTAGAGATTATCCATTGCACAGATGTTTTCTGGTTACTTTCTGTTATTGATATTTTAAAATATTATTTTTAGCATTTATAGCAATTAAAAGCATAATATGTTTCTTTTTCGCCAGCTTTTTTTTCTTTTTGTTACCTGCACTTCATTTGCACTTTATTTGTTGAAAATGTCAATTTGTTATTATTATCTTATGAGTCTTTGTTACTTTAATTGTATCTCGTTTGTTTTTTTTTTTAAACTTGAATATAATTTTTTTTTGAGTTATTGTTCTTACATTCCAACTGAATCCTCATTTTCTTTAAAGAATATCTAGTAATATATATACGAGGGTTGTCCCAAAATTTCGTAGACTGAGCTCATATCTTTGAAAGAAATAAATGTATCTTTATAAAATTTTCAGTGAGGATAAAGCATGTTCTTAGCAGAGAAATTACGAAATTTTATCATGTTTACTTGAAAACTTTCCGAGTAATAACATTTAAAGTGATATAGTTCTCTAACACCCGGAGCAATCTGCAACGTCAAAAAATACAAATGGCAACGGTTCAAATTTTTGGAGAAAATATTTCAATTACCAGAATCAAATTCTTAAATTAAACGAAACGGTTATAGTTATAAATGTAAAATATCTTAATTACTATGATATGATCAAACATTAAAATATGTAAACAAAGTATATGCATGTACAGGTATGAAATAATAATAATTTGAAAACGCTATATTTCTACGGGCTTTTTGTCTATTTTCTCTAATGGATTAGCACAATGGAACTCTTGCCCATTTCTTAGCCCTGTCTTTTATTTTAATTACTGTTATTGACATATACATAGAGAAACCGTTTTAGTCATTTTAAATACTAAGGAGGAGAAAAAGTTTCCTAGTCTACCAAACATTTTTGACTGGTACATTTCTGTAAGAGTGAATTCAGGATCAAGACACTTGATCATAGTCCAGTGCGCCGCCTGGGCCAAAGCAGCCGCCATTTTTCAAAAATTCTTGTTTTAACCCCATGTATATAAAACGTTATAAAATTCATATTTATCAAAGCATACACACCAAAATTTGAGGAAATATAGTTAATAAAACAATATTAAGAATTTTCATTTCCATTACATAAAATATGGGGTAGTAGTTACTTTTCCGTAGGATTTTAAATATAATATACGAAATTTTAATTGCAACTTTTGGGTTTGCGCCGCCTTCCTACACCAGAAAATGAAATGTGTCTTTTAAATTGGAATAATTTGTGAAGTTACTCCATATTTGTCCATAAATTTATTAGATAGTGTTGGTTTAACCTATATACGAAGTTTCATTCATGTATGACGTAGGGTTCCTACAAAACAACGCTTGTCTACGGAATTTTGGGACAACCCTCGTATATTGGTGCTGCATTTCAAAGTTAAGTTGTTTTGGAGTCATTAGACTCACCTTGCCTTGGGCAGTTTATCATCCCTTATGTACGTTAATAGGGTGTCAAGATCACATTCTGTTTATATTAGAAACAAATTAAATGTAGTGAGATACAAATGTGTAATCATACTTTCATATATATCATCTATTATAGTTCTTCATATATTTACACAGAAATTCTTTATTTTTATGATTTTTAAAAATTTTGACTTATTAGTACATGTGAG